TTCGCGAAGAATTCACCAAGAAGATTGCCCGAAATTTTTCAAAAATTTTCAAATCTTTTGAAATTAATGCTCTTTCGCAAGGGAATTTGCCAAGTCGAGAGTTGATCGATCCTCACCTCGATGCACGAAATTTTCGAAAAATATTTGAAAATCTTTTAACAAAAAAAAAAAAAAAAAAAATAGTGTTTTTTCTCTAAGGAATTCGCCAAGAGGCGAATTCTCCCGAAATTTCTCCCGAAGAAAAATGTTTTACCAAAAAGAAATAAAGCGACACAGAGAACACGTTCCAATTTTCTAATTCATCGTTTGTTCCGATATTATTCCCGTGGGAAACGGGAAAGCATGCAAACGCGACGCGTCGAACGGCAGATTGCTTCTCTCCTCCCGTTTCCTCTCCTCCCGTTTCCTCTCCTCCTAAAATTGGAGAGTGCGTGTCCGCGGCCAATCCCTCTCCCACAGGATCTCAGTTCTTTTCGACGGAAAAAGGAGGGTAGGCGAGAGGAGTGGAAAGAAAGAAGGGCAATCTCTGCGTGGTCACGAAACGATTGCACGGGTTCGCCATCGACTCGGATGCGAACGACCTGCTGGCCCTCTGTGTGCCTCCTTCCTTCCTCCTCTTTCCTTCCTTCCTTCCTTTCTTCCACCATCCTCCTCCTCCTTCCCCGCGCACACGCACACGCCACGCTTCCTCCGTATTCGCGAAACCAGTTCACCGGTCCCGTGATCTTCGCAGAGATCCGCGATCTCGATCCATTCGTTGCGCGCGCATCGTCCCAGCTAATCGTTCTCGATTCGCCCTTCCAATCCCATCACCTTCCCTATCACCTCAAATATTCGATAAACGTGTGAAGAAATAATCAAATACAAATATTATAAACGCGTCGATATCGTATTGCCCGTTCGAAATTAATTCTCTGGATGTATTTTAGAGAAAAAGATGGGTTCTTCTTTTTCGATGTAACGACATTGAAGGAAAAATTGATTAGATTAGAACACGTGAAATTCTGTTGCTGTAAGAAGAAAAAAATTGAACCATAAATTGTATTATCGTTAAAAATATGAATTTATATATATTCGATTGTAAAATAAAATATTTCCAAAAGAATGGTAAAAATTAAATAAAATTTGCTTGGTTTTTATTATTAATTAAATAATAATTAAGGGTACAGTAAATTGTAAAGTTACAAGAATAAAAGAATTCGACAATGGAAATTCTAAAGGATTTAATATCTTTTGATGGAAATATATTTTATTATTATAATTATATTATAATATTAATATATTATTTACAATTTAATATAACATAATATATAACATATTATTTATAATTTAAATATTATGGGAAGAATGGGAAGAATGAAAAGAAAAGGATACAAAAAATATTAATTTAGATACAATAAATAAAATTATTCTAAATTTTAAAAAGTTAGTAACAAAAAATACGTGAGAACTGTGAAATGTTCTTGCTGGAATAATAATATCTCGAAATCAAAATTCGCCATTTAAAACGATCGTTATAACCGCGCAAGTTGTAGAATTAAGATTAAACTCTTGCAAGTTCTCTTGGAGAGGGAACAGATTGGTTGAATATTGGCGAAAATTGTGGCGAGCATTAGGAAGATGGATTCGATCGGTTCGTTCTAGGCATTTCAAAGTTTTAAACGGGATCATTTGATAATTGGAATTCTTGGGCAATAAGTAAGTTGTCGCAGAGAAATGGATTTGAATATCCAATGAAAATTTCGACAGAGATAAAGAATGCATTGTGAAGATATTTTAAAGTAACATTTATAATAGAGAATAAAGATGAACTCTATGCCGAATTGCTAAAAATTTGAATAACAAATTTTAATTTAATCTATCAGCGAATTTTAAGATTTTAAGAAAAATTAAACCGATTCCACGATAATTGAAATTATTCTTCTTCTTCGAATTTGCAGATAGATTCGAATATTCATATTTCGAATACAATTTCAATATTATAGAAAGAATTGAAAAATGAAAAAAAAGGAAGATAAAAAAAATAAATAATAGAAAAATAAAATAAAAAAAAAGAAGAAATATCAACTAAAATAAATAAAATTCTAAGTTTTAAAAAAAGTTGGTAACAAAAAATATGCGAGAAACTTGGGAGGAGGATAAAGAAGAATTCCTCTCGAAGACGATTCAAACGATTAATAATATTAATGAGATTGAAAATTTGAGCCTTTTTTCTCTCTCTCCCCGCTCCTCCTCCCTGAATGGGAACGGTTGTTGGGCCAACAGCCGCGTGCACGGTAATAGATTTTGATCGCGTGAAGCCGGTTCGGCATGCGAGCTCTCCTCGCCACACCGTTATCCTTTTTCAATGAAACTGGTTTTTTCGCTTTTGCATCCGCAGTGGCGGCACAGGAAGCGGTCCATGTAAATACGTGTAAATAATTTATCGACATAAGTGCGCGCCACGTTGCCGTCGCGATATATCTCGTTCACGGGGATCCGTGTAATTAATGTCCCCTTTGCCGGGTCGCGTTCCATTACCTCGAAAGTGAATCTTGGCGTTATGAAAATTAAGCGGATAGATAGATCAAGGGAGAGAGAAATGAACGAACACGCGCCACGTTCAAATTCTCTCTTTCAAATTCAAATTCGCCGATTTTTTTTACGACCGACCCATCTCTCTCTCTCTCTCACACTCTCTTTCTCTCTCACCTTGTTTCGATACGATCGCTCGTTATTTCCACACGAAATCTCTACGCGTTGATTATTCTCTTATTTGAAGAGCGACACAAAAAAAAAAAAAGAAAAGAAAAAGAATTGCTTTGACGAAGAAGAGTCAAAACCGAGACGCGTTAATTTCTCGCGCTGGAGGAATTGGAAAGTTCGTAAAGAAGGAGACATTTTGCGCTCGTTCATTTTGTTGAAAGAGATTTTTCCATCCGTTTCAAATATCACTTCTAATCTCCTTCGACTCGCCATCGAGACGCCTTTTTTCATCCCGAAGGAGGGAAAAGCATGGTTTGGTGGGAGCCGCTTTCGGATGAGTCCTGCGAGATTGTTGGATAGGTCATAACTCTCGTCGACGTGTCGCGCGGGGGATGGAGAACGGGCAATTAATTACAAGCTCGCTTAATTAAAGAGGGTCTTCTTGGCGTTTCAGAGTGGAGCTCCACTTTCAAAAGTCATGGCGAGAGTGCACTCGGCTCTCTCTCCTAAGCCCACGGACGTGTAACTTTGATCCACTCTGTCTCTCAATACGTGCTCTCAAAACTGTCCCTCGAAACTTTGTCTCAAATCGTCCTTTTCTCTATTATTTCTTCCAAATTATTGTATCAGCAGAAAGAGTTAGAAGGAGGATCGAATTTATTGAATACCATATGGCAAGAATATTATTCGTAACGTGTTTTTAAAATTTCAACCTTTGTGTAATTTCTTTTACTCCTCGCGTATCGAAGAAAAACGCCATTTTTGTCGTTTAAATACGACACCGTCCGATTATCAAAAGCCTCGAACGTTATTCGCGAGATAATTCACATATAATTATCACGCGAGGTGGAAAATTAATTAATCAAAATTTCGAGCGAAATTTACTTTCGATAATAACTTTGTATGAAATACTCGATTAATTATATATGGTACAATTAAGATCAAATAAAATCTTCTCCTTTAATCTTTATCCTCCATTGAGATTGAAAAAGAGTACCAAAGTAGTTACACTCGACCGCGCTATTGGAACACCCAACAAAACTCGGCCGATTGACAATTAAAACAGAAACGCCGCGTGACGGAAGGCGATGTTGCGTGAAAACTGTGGCGCGAAAAAAAAGGGGGAATGCCTCGATATGCCTCGGCTCGCTTTCGCGTCTCTCGAACGATCTCACGAACCTCCGCGCCTTCGCGCTGTTTGTGCTTTCAGTTTTCCAATCGAGAGCCGATGGCGACGATGAATCGCGTGGAGTAGAATTTTTGCGACGAAGGAAAAAAAAAAAAAAAGGAAAATTTTCGGCCGGGGTACAGATTTGGATGCTTTGGAGGGGAAGGGGGGGGAAAGGAGCGCCCTTGTCGGGGGAGTTGTGCCGAGTTCTTCTTCCTCGAGGAGAGAATTGCGCGCGGGGATGGCGTTGACTCCGACACGATGCCGCGGCGGAGGCGGCGAGAACCTCTCGGAGGAAACGGCGAACGAGGACGAGGTGGGGAACGCCGGCAATTTCGAGCCCCTGAGCGACTCCTGCGGCGAGAGCGACATGGAGGGCCTCGATCTCTCCCTGTTCGAGCCCCAGGTAGACACCACTTCCTGGTGCGACTCCCGGATTCACGCGGGCACTCTTCATATCCTGGTCCATTACTGCGGTAAGCTCTGATATTTTTCACATACGGATGATACGGCTTTCTCTCTCGTGGATCGAGGAATTAAGAATTGTTTGTGTGTATATGTACATATGAATATAAATTGGTATCATTGAGTGGTTATTTTTTCGCATGGATGATACGGCTTTTTCTTTCGTGGATCGAGGAATTAAGAATTGTTTGTATATGTGTATATGTGCGAATGTAAATTGGTATTATTGAGCGGTTGGAAGGAAATTATCGATCTTTTTGTCTGTTTGCTTCCTTGGAGAAATTTTTTATTCGTTTTTTCTTTTCTTTCTTTCTTTTTTTTATGAGGAGAAGAGAGAGAGAGAGAGAGAAAGAGAGATGTTTATCCTTTGGAGGATGAGTAATTGTGATTTTATAATTAATGTGATATTTTTTTTTTTTTTTTTTGAGAGGAATAATTCGAAAGGTAGGCATATTGCGTTTCGGACGAAAATTGATTTCGGTTAGGTTAGAGGCATCGGGTGAATGAAATTCTTCGAAGGGAAAATTGATTTTCCCTCGTCAAAAGCATTTGATATGTAGATGAGATCCCGTGAAAGAATTTTCTTTTAAGAGAAAATTGGTTTTACCGTGCCCCGCGAAGGGCATTTGGTAAGTAGAACTTTTTACACGGATATTGATTTCTTCGCGTCAAAAGGATCGATAAGTAAAACTCGTGTTCTCCTCTTTGGAAAATTAATTTTTTCGTTCATAGAATTCTGAATCGTTCCGCGAACAAAATCTAATAAAAATTAAGGCTTCGTCAAAGAAGAAAATCAATTATCAAAAAAAAAAGAAAGAAATATGAAACATCGTATCGTAAATCATCGCGACGCATCACTCGATATTTCCAAATCACAAAACTGCGATGTATCTTCACAAAGATTTCAATTCGCGACAGAGTCTACAAAAATATATATCATATTCGATTCGTAAATGATTCTTAAATCTCCAAATCACAAAGTTACAAAGTATCAAAAAATTACGTTTCACAAACTCACAAAGCATCATATCACAAAACATCACAATATTTCCACATCACAAAACATCACAATATCTCTACATTACAAAGCATCACAATATCTCTACATCACAAAGTATCACAATATGTCCACGTCACAAAATATTACAATATCTCTACATTACAAAGCATCACAATATCTCTACATCACAAAGTATCACAATATGTCCACGTCACAAAATATTACAATATCTCTACATTACAAAGCATCACAATATCTCCACATCACAAAGCATCACAATATCTCCACATCACAAAGCATCACAATATTTCCACATCACAATATCTCTACATCACAAAGTATCACAATATGTCCACGTCACAAAATATTACAATATCTCCACATCACAAAATATCACAATATCTCCACATCACAAAGCATCACAATATTTCCACATCACAATATCTCTACATCACAAAGTATCACAATATGTCCACGTCACAAAATATTACAATATCTCCACATCACAAAATATCCCAATATGTCCACGTCACAAAGCATCACAATATCTCCACATCACAAAATATCACAATATCTCCACATCACAAAATATCACAATATCTCCACATCACAAAGCATCAGAATATTTCCACATCACAAAGAATCACAATATTTCCACATCACAAAGATACATTCTCAAAGCAACGATATCTTTGCAAATACAGTAGCCGCGCTACGATTTTAACGCGATATCGCGAAGATAAGGCGAGACGTTTCGCGCTTCGCTTCGAATCTTATTTCTCGGGCCGATTTCTATTAACATACAATGCTGGCTGGCCACGATATCCCTCCGCCGCGAATTAATCTGCCGCGTTAAATGAAAAGCCGAAGAAGAGGAGTAGTTCACCGCGCGCGTTCATCGTCCACGCGTCGCCGCGTGGGTGGATGCGCGGGGCGGCTAAACGCATCTGGAAGATGGGATCCCTCGCGAGGGTTTTTTATTTTTTTCTATTCTTTCTTTCTTCCTTTTTTTTTCGAGATTGTGCAACGAGAGTGCGTCGCGCGAATCTAGCGGGATTGAACTCGACCCGCGGAACAGAGATATGTGGGCGATGCGATGGGCTTTACGCCGATGGAGAGGATTGAGTCGCGGTGGATTTAGGATGCGAGCTTCGGCTCGATGATGCGCATTGTCGGTAGGATGGATTTTTTTAGATTTTTTTTTTTTTTTTTTTTTGGGAGAGGAGGAGATATTTTTGGAAGCGAAAAGTTTTTTCGTTTACTTGTCTTTTTTTTTAATATCGTAGAATATCGCGAGATAAGAAGTAGAAATTTTTGAAATTGTCGATTCGGATGAAATAATTTGTGGATTCGAAAAAAATTGGTGGATGGATATTTTTTTATTTACAGGCTTACCTTCTTGTAAATTTTGGATCGTAAAATTATATGGAAAGCGGGGAAAAATCGGTGCAGATTCGTTGATAAAACACAATGTGTGGAATTTTTCGATTCGTAGCCGCGAGAAAAATTGGTTGGCCGATGAATATTTTCTATTTACAAATTTATTTTCTCACGTGAAAATTATGGGAAGAATATGGGAGAATTGATGAAGCACAATGGAATTTTTGCGCGCAATTATACGTGTAATTCAAATACCTTTTGTATTCAAAAGAGCTCTCGACAATTACTTTTATTCATTTTTCTCGTTCGCTCGAAGAGTAAAAATACTTCTTTTACTTTTCTTTCGATCCAGATCAAACACGTCTCGGAGCATTTCGTTTCGAAAAAGATAAATTCCTCGCTTAAAAGCGTCCCACGCGAGGACAAGATAATAATTCCCTTATCCGATCCGAATGATTGGCGAATCACCTGGCTACCGCATACCGGCACGAACGGCGGATAAAAACGGTGGTGGGATGGTCAGGGTGATCGATTCGCGGTGGAGACCAATTAAATGGTGATTCACCGCGGATGTAACGCCGCCCGCAGATATAATCTGCTCGGTCGCAATAAATCGATGTAGGTAAATGAGTCGCGTATCCTTTCCACCGTGTTTCGTCCTCCTTTCATTGCCCACTTGGAAACGTTCTTCTCCACCTCTCTCTCTGTCCCTCGAGTTTGCGTTTTTTCCAGAGCTGGATCTCTCCTGTAGCCTGTGGGAAGGAAGGAAAAAAGGAAGAGAGAGGGAAAAGAAAAAAGAAAAAAAAGGTAGGAGGAGGATAAGGCCGAGCAGAAGGTTGAATTTTCATGTGTACAGATCGAGTCGAGTTCTCTCCTCGAGTTTTCGCTCGAATCGTTCGCCTGTTCGCGGAACCTGTCCAATGGGAAAAGAGGTTTACGCGGTGGACGAGGACTAGAAACTAGGGAGGAGATTGATGCTTCCTTGATATTTCCTTCGCCGTAAAGCGTATGATTATGGCCGCTTCGAGCAGTGAAATCTTCTGTGGTCGGGTTGGCCGCTCGTCGGAGAGGATTAAATTGGTGGAGACTTTGCGACAGGTGATTCTTGTGTTTGCTTAATCGATAGACCTTTTTTTTTGATGGGATAGTTAGTTGGATGGATTATTAATGATAGGCGAGCGAATTATTATTTATCGTTGACGTTATAATTCAATTCGTCTTTTGCTCTTCTTTAATGCGTGTTAAATCGAATTAAATTCTAATCCAACGTGATATTATATTTTTTCTCTGTTTCTAATATTCTTTAATTTGCAGTCGCGTAGAGAATATCCTCGACGTGAAACAGAATCGAGATAATTACTTTTAACAAGAAAATTTTTTCAATATTATATTATATTTTCCCCTATTTCTAATATTCTTTAATTTGCAGTCGCGTAGAGAATATCCTCGACGTGAAACAGAATCGAGATAATTACTTTTAACAAGAAAATTTTTTCAATATTATATTATATTTTCCCCTATTTCTAATATTCTTTAATTTGCATTTCTCGACGTGAATCAGAATCGAGATAATAATTATCCATGAAATGATTAAATTTTTAACAACAAAATTTTCTCGATACAATATTTTCCTCTATTTCTAATATTCTTTAATTTGTAAGATCCTCGACGTGAATCAGAATCGGGATAATTACTTTTAAAAAGAAAATTTTCTCAATACAATATTTTCCTCTATTTCTAATATTCTTTAATTTGCAAGAACTTCGACGTGAATCAGAATCGAGATAATTACTTAACAAGAAAATTTTTTCAATATTATATTATATTTTCCCCTATTTCTAATATTCTTTAATTTGCAAGAACTTCGACGTGAATCAGAATCGAGATAATTACTTAACAAGAAAATTTTTTCAATATTATATTATATTTTCCCCTATTTCTAATATTCTTTAATTTGCATTTCTCGACATGAATCAGAATCGAGATAATAATTATCCATGAAATGGTTAAAATGGTAAGAGCGGATGAAAACGATTTTTATTTTCAATAACGTGTAATAACGAAAAAGGAGCATTTATCCGAGCGAGAGAGAATTTCTAAATTTCCGTTTAAATAATATTCTTTCTTCGTTGTTGTGTATTATCTTTCAAAATCATCATTTCCAACACAATGGAGAAAAATAGGGGGAGGAATTTCGATAATTTGGAGAGTGAAAGGAAAGAAAAAGGAAAAGAAAAGAGGAGGAAGAGCACGCGCGTTCAATTAATCGAACTCTATTAAACCGACTCTCGTATCACGACACTCACAAACTTGATTTGCGACGTGACGCAAAGCTCTCCTCTCCACGTTATAAGTCTGGTTTCGGGTCGAACGAAAGGGTCGATGTCGAGTTCAGTGGTGCGGGTAATTAAAAACGTCAATGCGATAATTATGGCGTCGTCGTTGAGTGATCGCGATTTGTCTTCGCAAATGGAAACAGCCGATCCAGCACCCGTCCATTCCCCATTGTCTCCGCAATAATTAGTAAACGCGACTTTAAACTTGAACTTCGATCGGGGGGTAACCATTAAACTTTCGTTTCCTGGAACCGATGAAATATTTTCCCCCTTATTTCCCATCCATTCCAAAAAC